GATGTGATGATCAAAAGACTGGAGAGCCTGTACAGTGAGAAAAGACTGAAGAATGTAGGTCTTCTTACTATGGAATGCTTGGGAGCCTTTTCAGAGGTGGCTACAAAGAATACAAAGGTCTCTCTCTCCACAAGCCACATGGAGAAGACAAGGTTGCAGTGGCAGAAATTTTGTCTTGATATAACTTTTTTTACAGTAAGAACAATCACTGGAACATCCTACTCAGAGACATTATTGAACAGGCTGCTAGATAATCTTATTTAGGCTCCCTTTCTCCATAGAAGGTTGAACCTGATGATCTTTTGAGGTCCTCTCCAGCATGAACTGTTCTCTGATTCTGTGATTATGTAGAGTTAGCTGGTAGAACACAGTTATGTTGTTCAGTGGCATATGGAACTACATAAGTAAAATGCATGACAACCTTTCTTTCCATGGCATTCAGTTTTCTGAGAAGGAAATTAGAATAGGTTTAGAGGATGCCTGCAGATCAAGTATTATGGAGACTGGTCACTTCAGGTGTATGAATAAGGTGGAATCATTCCTACTCAAAACCTACTGTTTTTTGTTTTTGGTTTTTTGTTTTTTTTTTGGGGGGGGGGGCATGGCAAGGATAGAATACATTTTGCCTTTGTCTGGGAAGCAGTTCCTGGACAAAGGTGTTTAATTACAAACTCAACATCTGCAGGCTAGTCAAGGCTGTTTGAACTAGAGGCCAGAAAGTATTGCCAGCAGATCAGTTTGAATAATTAGGTATATAGTGCTTCATAACATACAGTTGTACATAGGAAAAAATAATATAATCATTCTCTAGCATTGGACTATTAAGAAGAATGTTTAAAAATAAATGCATAATGCCATTTTCTATGTGCTTGTGAGGCCAATGAGTGTAAAAGACAGCTTATCTCTTGTACGTGTGCTGTTACGTAGTGGGAGTTAGTTACTATACTAGACAATAGCAGCACAATGTTAAGACTGATTTTCTTGGGAGTTGGTGTCACCCTCTGACCTTCTGTGTGTGTTAGAAAATAGCTAATCTGGTATTTTTTGTTCTCTCCCTTGAAGATCTTCCATTCTAACTCTCATGTTCTTCTGGAGACTGCAGGGGCCTCCCTGAGAAATAACCTGTAGACCTGTATATCATCTGTGAGCTTGCTGAGAGTTCCCTGTGGGTCATTAATGAAAACACTAAATAGTTTTGAATCAAGTGTTGATTAAGTTGAGGAATACCAGTAGTCACTGGCCTTCAGCTGGCCTTCACATGTCAGCAGTAGTGTTTGAGTTCAGCAGTCCAGCCAATTCTCCACACCTCATCTCCTTTTTATCCAGTCCATATCTCATAGATCTGGATCTACGAAGGCTGTGGCAGTTCTCACAAACCTCTGCTGAAAATCAAGATATACAACAGCTGTTGCTTTCCCCACATGCACAAAACCAACCACAGGTAACAGTCACTTCAGTTGTGTTAGTTGGGCAGGAGTAAAGTATGTATGGAAGAAAGGACAGAGAGATAACAGTTATTTCCTACCTGCTCTCACTAGCAGGTGACTAGCAGCCAGATCCAGGACCTTGACATGTGTTGGCATTATTTGGGAGGATAAACATTTTCATAATGGGACCCCCCTCTCCTTTCTCCTTTCCCACTTTGATTTCTGACTGTTCCATCTTACAGCATGTGAGGAAATTGTTTGCTCAGAGGGTGATGACTGGCACAGGCTGCCCAGAGAAGCTGTGGATGTGCCTTGTTTGGAGACATTCATGGCCGGATTGAGTGAGACCCTGGGCAGCCTGATCTGGTGGGTGGCAGCCCTGCCCATGGCAATGGAATTGGGATGTGGATGGTCTTTAAATATCCCTTCCATTCTAAAACATGCTACGATTCTGTTTTTTTTTTTGTGTGTGTGTTTTGTTTTGTTTTTTTTTTTTTTTTTTTTGAAGATGCATGATTAAGTAGTGGAACTCGCTGCCACACATTTCAGATCCAGGAAATAAATATGATGGATATAAAGCAGTGAGATGAGGGTATAACAGTTTGTATAATGAACTTCCATGAGGCTGTTAAAAGTAACAGTGTGTATTCAGCCTCTGGTGGAGAAATTCTGTGAACTGGTATTTACTGAAAGGAATCCTGAAAGGAGGTAGGAATAACAATGGGAAAAGTGTTAGAGAAAGGAGTAACACTGCAGTTTGTCCTATATTTGTATATTTCCTCAAACTGTTCCTGTTGAGCACATCAAAGACATGCTGTGAGCTTAGTTAGACCTTTGCTCTGCTAGAGTATAGTCAGTATTAAGCTAAATCTCTGAGGCAATAGCAAGGCTATAACTAGAACTTCATGCTTTATGTAATGATGAATTCATGGTGTCATTACATGGCTGGTTAACTTACTCATTTAAAGCTAGGTTCTTGCCTCTATCATCTCACCTTTCTTCACTAAAACCCTTACTGGTATCTGATCCCACCAGTTTGTCTGATCCTAATGAGCTGATGATCTTTACAAAGCAGAGCAGTAACTTGTGCAACAACTGAGAAGAGAAATTAATGCTTTTGCTGTCTTATGTCTCCAAACTAATTGTAGAGCATGGCAACACCAGTCCCGGCTGGTCTTGGATTCCTGGCCTAAGCATTGGCTATGGTGCCCTTCTAGGGTAAACTCTTCTCTGAGTTCTGAACTGGCAGGGGATTTACAGTGCAGAAAGCAGGAACTGAGTAAAAAAAACCCTCTAAATAGAGTGGATGTAATGGAGACTTCTTTTGTTTTGATGACCTTAAGTTCTTGATGCAGTTATCTTGCTGTTATATGCTCTCATCTTTTGCTCTTTTTGTGTAGGTTTGGCTTAACGTGGCTATGTACGTACATACAACATATGAACAGTAACCTACTGCAGAAGCTGCTGCAATTCTGACAGCTCATTTATTTCGCTTGTTAGTGTTTAAACTATTTCTTTCCTAAGTGAAGCCACAGAGGAAATGCATTTCACTTAAAAATATATATGTTTCTGGAGGCTTTTTGCTCTTTTTTGATGTTTTGTTCACCCAGATCAAACATTTTAGGAGAGCTGTGAAGTTGTTAATGTTGACTTTATTCTTTGAGAGGGGAAAGACCGGTGATTCTCTCTGATTTAGGAGATTTTAATCGGGAACAAATCTGATAGTGATCAGTTTGGAAGGCAGAAGTGTGTATTTTATCACAGGACCCAAGAAATGAAACTTGTAGAAGACTTTCTTGGTGTTTTGTCATCTTTACAGAGCTGATCTGGAATGACAAACTAGTTTCTGCCTTATCACACACATTACTAATCACATTAAAATAAAAGTTTAAATCTACAACTGCCTTTTTTTGGGGGGGGGGGGGGGTGGGGATTTTTAATTTGGTGAGGGTGAGA